TAACACAATCATCCAGTCCGCAACTGTAGTGGCCTTTTTGATAGGCAAAGGGTCCCTACACACTGATTGGAACGTTCCTATTGTAGTTATCAACTGGATATGATGTGAATATTTCAGAGTGAGGATGACTGTGGTGCAGCTGAAACAAATAAATGTAGCCTAGTTTAAAAGTGAGTTTTTCATTATTAGCTGCATAGTCTAATCAATGGATTCCGGCATCACCAACATCTCAGCGAGATGAATAAATAGGCCTGTAGCCTATGTAAAATGAATGTAATGAATGTCACACCACTCCCCCGCACCACCATCTTCAACAGTCACCTTCCCCGACTGCTACGCTGTCACCCTCCCTCTCTGACCCCTCACCTGCACTCACAATTTTATGAAGAGGATGTGTGCCAGCTCTTCCAGAGGCAGAAGATCATGAAAGCTCCTGGCCCCGACGGTGTGTCTCCATCCTGCCTGAAAATCTGTGTAGACCAGCTGGCCCCCATCTTCTCACAGATCTTCAACAGATCACTGGAGCTGTGTGAAGTTTCCTCCTGCTTCAATCACTCCACAATCATCCCGGTCCCCAAAAACCCCTCCATCTCTGGATTAAATGACTACAGGCCTGTCGCCCTGACATCTGTAGTCATGAAGTTCTTTGAAAGACTGGTGTTTCACCTGAAGGACATTACCGGCCCCTTGCTGGACCCCCTGCAGTTTGCCTACAGGGCTAACAGGTCAGTGGATGATGCTGTCAACTTGGGTCTGCATTACATCCTGCAACACCTCGACTCTCCAGAGATATATGCAAGGATCCTGTTCATGGACTTCAGCTCGGCGTTCAACACCATCATCCCGGACATCCTCAGCACCAAACTCACCCAGCTCACTATGCCAGCCTCCACCTGTCAGTGGATCACAAACTTCCTGACTGTCAGGAGTCAGCAGGTGAAGCTGGGGAACATCACATCGTCTGGTAAATGATGAATGAGCAACGCTGAATAAAATGTAATAGTCTATTGTTATTGATCCTTCCTCCACTCCTTCGTTTTAACATTAATAGCCTATCATGGTCCGCGTTGGTACGCATTCATATTTCTAGCTCCACCCGATTAAAATGGAGGCTCTGCCTTTATTTACCCGTTGCCATGGTGAATCATAGTATCAGAGCTCCATTGATGATGTCTTTTTTTCATCCCCACGCACTCACTTCCATCAGGTTCAACATACTCAGAGTTGATTGGACTAATTCTGATCAGCTTTTCTGAAACCGAAAACTCGGAGTTTCACATCTCAGGCTCAATCAACTCAGAGCTTAGAGTTAAGTTCAGAGTTTGTTAAACCTGCTTGCAACAGGGCCCTGATTTTATCATAACCCAAAAACATCAAACTATTGTATCTGCAGGCTCCTGTGGTTAGGCAGCAAACTGCTATGTATTAAACCTTCAAACCAAAGGTCATCTTCTATCATTCTAAATGTTTTTTATAACAAATAACAGTAGGCTACATAAAGCATTTCCAGAACATTTTAAAATTTTCAATCATTTTGAGTTCATTTAAAAATCATGATCACCATATAGATCTAAGATTGCTTGACTGATTAAGCAATGGATATAAGCAGTTACTATTAGAAATACTATTAACTACATATTTAAACATTAAGATACTGAATTAAGGTTAATTTTGTTTTTTAACAATTTCATATTTGTGGCTACACAACAATACCAATTGACACGCACCCACACACGCGCATCTATACACACACAGACACATTATGTGAAGCAGGCATATAAATGCACCTCTATTATTCCACAGGAATATTAGGTATAATTTAGTTTAGGTATAATTTACATAATGTATTTGATTAATACATTAATGTATTCAGGCAATTCAGTATTCTGTTGCTTGGCTGTGTGAAGCTGACGGTTGTCTTTACTCATTTGGCATCTTGCTTCTGAAACAAAAAGCAAAAGTATTTAAATAACATTTATTTTAATCATAACTGCAACCCAATGCCACAATTTAGAGTGAAGGTTTTTGTTGATTTTCTAGTGTTATGTATTCCAATAACACCAAAATAATTAATACAATTTATTTCCTTTTGAATAATAAACAAATTATTAATGAAACTATGTCCCTCTCCTTGGTGCAGTCATTTATTCTAAATATATACTTGTAGCATAGAAAACATGCACATTGTGGGATAGTTTCCTTTGCTGTTGCCTGCTCCTGTGATAAACCTAGTGAATACTAAAGCGTGATTTATACTTCTGCGTTGGGTCTACGCTGTAGGCTACGCATGTAGCAGGGTTAGGGTTGAGACAAATGTTGACTTAAATAAAAGAGTTTTCAAATGTTTTTTAAAGGAAAAGACTGTGGAACATAAGTCTACGGGAAGAGCATTCTACAATGTCAGAGGCACCCTTTGAAATGCACAATCACATTTTGTTTTCAGTGAACCATGTGGAACAACTAGTCAGCCCTGGTTTGAAGACCCAAGTGGCCTGGAGCTGATGTAAGTAAATTTTTTTATTACACACTACAAGGACTACTACTACCACCACTACTTGCCCAAGGACACTTCAACACGCAACCAGGGGGAGCCAGGGATTGAACCGCCGACCTTCCGATTAACGGCCAACCCGCTCTACCTCCTGAGCCACAGCCCCATGTAAGGGTGAAGCTGGTCGGAAATGCAGCCAGGGGCCTGACCATGCAGGGTTCTATATGTGAAAACGAGCACCTTAAAGTGAGTCCTGAAACTGACAGGCCATTGTAACGACGACAGGTTTGAGTCTGGCAATGTTTCTTAAATTAAAAAAATATCTGTGGTTCAAAGCTTTGATATGTTGATCAAAGTACTTGGCTTGGTCAAACATACTGTAACACCAAGATTCCTGAGGTCAGCCTTTAAATAACATTTGTTTTAACATGTATAGCTGACAAAAGTGACATAATACGCTGCAAACACATAGGCTCTGTTGACTGTCTCCATCAGCAGTATGTTTTATAAAGTCACCGAAAAGACACAGAACAAGTCTTGTGGGCGTTTCCACCCGCCAATAGAAGTGATTGAATGACGACTATTGCTTTTTTTTGGCCCATGCTTGTAAAATATCTACTATGTTTGCGTCTTGTAACTGTTTTGGCGGAAAATTGTATATATATACACACACACACACACATATATATATATATATACACACACACACATGTTAACCTATTTCCTTATTATTAATATACTCTTTATTAGTCTGTTTAGTCATTATATCTGTACACACATGTAGGGTTTAGGTCAGAGCTGTGAGATTGTTTAGTGTTTTCCCCTCTTGTTGTTCCTCTCCTCGAATGTTCATTCAAGGCTGGGAGAGGATCTCTGTTCTCCAAAACATAGAAACCTAGACTGTGTAAATGGCATAATCATTTACTCACCTCTGCTCTGGGCCAGGTGCCCGAAGCTGCTCTAGGTCTCTCGACCAGCTGTATATGTGTTATAGTACTTCTCTGTTTATTCTCTTTTATTAATAAATTCCTCAAAGACAACAGTTTATTGTTACTCAATTATTTGCTTTATCCCTCACCAGCAATATACAATTTCCACGACAGTAACGTAATAATATAACATATTGAAACCAGGGAAGAAGTCTTTGGATTGTGCATTAAGTTCATTGTATGTAAAACCACCATTTTCCCCTCTCCTTTGCCTTTCATGTCTCTGTACAGTCCTATCAAAGCAAAATGCCAGCGTTTTAAGAAATATTTTCCAATTACTTTACATTCAGATTGCACTTTAATCTCGAAGCTGTGTCTAACAGTATCCAAAATATTCTTTATGTTGGTTGCAGCCAACAGGGGTGGTGATGGTGCAGTGGATAAGACACATGCCTTTGGTGTGAAAAACCTGGGTTCAATCTCCCACTGTGACCCATCCACCAGTGTGTCCTTGAGCAAGACACTTAAACCTTAGCTGCTCCAGAGGTGTGCGACCTCAATTGTAAATCGCTTTGGATAAAAGCCTCAGCTAAAATGAATAAATGTCTGAGTATCCTCAAATTAAGCAAATTTAAGGAAGTCTGAAACTGTCACAAATAACCCTAGTACAAGATAACTCAAAATAGGTTTCTGATAAATGGAAATATATTGCTCTTATGTGAACATGTGCTAATTTTTAATTATTAAAAAACAGGATTTAAATATGTTTGTTTTAGGTTTGATAATACACCTATAGCTAAGACTCTTCAATCGAAGATAATTTTTCATCACAAACCCGTAATTTTACAGGAAGTTTTCTTTTTTAACCCCATTAAAAGGTGTGAACGCCTGTCATTTAACAATAAATTAAATATTACCTTTCTGTAATTTTACCACTTTGGGGCAATTATATGTATGTATATATGTGAAATTACAGTAATTATGGCTGTTTTCAATGATCAAAACTGTGTTTTGACAGTTTAACAATACTTGTAGACACTATATACTGATGTATTGTAACAGTTTGTTTACGTGAAAAACCCCAAAAGTTTCCTTAAGATAACAGAAATGTTATGGTTATTCACAGCTACATGTTTTTCATGTTATTTTACATTAGACATGTAAATTCATAGTTTATTTTTGTAATTTTTTTGATATTTTCATGTATTTCAGAAATACAGGAAAAATCTGTGAAGTAAAAAGGAATAAAACTGTCAAAGTACAGATTTTTTTTACAGTGTCCCACACCTTACCAGATTGATGGTAGTAATACATAACTGTGTGGTCTGCTGAACGCAGGCGGACCTCTTGGCAACTTTCATAGCAGTTATACCAATATTACTAAATGTAGTCAGTGGTGAGTTTTTAAAGTCAAAATGTGAAAATGCCATAAACATCACCGTCAGCATTTGCAGGATAACACACTTACATGTGACAAGAAACCTAAAGTGAATCCTTTAGCAAACGAATTCAGAAAGAAATTAAGATAAATCTTGAAGCGTGGTACTTGTTTCTTTTCACAAGTTCATTCTAAGACGTAGGCCTATGTGGTGAACCTCCTGATCTGCAGTTGCTTCCTCATCGCAGTGGACCTCTTCAGCGTCCTGCTGCCTCCCCACAGTGTGGACCGATCCTCTTTCAAGATGACCCTCATCCTGGACTACACAGTTTTCCTGCTCATCATGAACGAGCTGCTGCCTTCCACCGGGGACACGACACCTCTCACCAGTGAGTGACACCTGTGATCTTATTCCAGAGAAAATTGAAGGAACATGCATAGGGCCTACATCATTATGAAATTCATACAGGACTTAATGTGACCGTACACGTATAGCAGCTTTCTAGTCTTCTGACCACTTAAAGTGCTTTTGTTACATGTCACGTTCGCCCAATTCACACATATTTAATATACTGATGGCAGAGGTTTCCACGCAAGGTGCCAACTGCTCATCAGAAAGAAATTCAACATTAATCTGGGGTTCAGTATCTTGCCCAAGGACACTTTGACATAGAGGGTGGGGGGAGCCACGGATCGAGCCACCAATCTTCAATTTAGTGGGCAACCTGCTCTTCCTCAAAGCCACCGCTTGGAAATTAAAAGTGTACTGAAATTTTGCTGTTGTTGTTTTCTTGCAGTCATTTTCTTCTCCATCAGTCTCTCTCTGATGGTGGCCAGCCTGCTGGAGACAGTGTTAATCACTAGTATCCAGTCCAGCAACTCCAGTGTGGTGCCTCACTGGTTCAGTGTCGTTGTGTTAAAATATTTAGCTGTTGCTGTTTGTCTCCCTCCAAAGAAAAAGAGCAACCAAATCACTGTCTTCTTCAACTCATCTACTAGAGGTATATTTTATTATTTTATTTTTGACATTAACTATAAAAGATGTGAGATCTTTGACCAGACAGCTGATTTAGTTTGACCCCCGGTTTGCAGGGATTTGATGGTGAAACCATTTGAAGCACCAAGTGACATTTGATGCACTAAATAATAATTAATAGGACTACATTTTAAGTTAGAGTGAACTAATATTAATTTATTTGGTGTCACTTCCTTTGTTGCATATCTTGAAATGGTGACTTTCTTTTATTTATGTCAGTTATTCTGTCTAAGTGTAGTATGTTGTGATATCACACAACAGTAGAGGTGTAGAGAGAGAGAGAGAGGGAGCAAGCAAGGAGGTGCTGCACAAATATATGCTCCTCAAAAAATCTCCTCAATCAAAAATGATTTTAAATTTAAATCAGACTGCGGTAAATGGAGGCTATATAAGAGATTGGTATGCTAATTCCAGATGTAGAGGGAATAACCAATTATTGTCAAAATCATAAAATCTCTCCAGGTGAACTAAATGATTTAATATGAGTTTGTTAGGTCTAAGGTGGGCTAACGTTACACAGCTAACTCACCACAGGAGACACAAAGTTAGCAAACTGGACAGCAGACTTACCTTGAGGTGACAAGGATGAACCCGATTTATTTTTCCGCTGCTGGTTGAAACAAGGCTACAGTCCTTTTTCCTTGTTGTCTCTACAGATGAAGTTGACGCTAGCTAGTGTCCTGCAGAGGGCTCTGGTGCCATGAATATCCTTTCCATTCACGGGAGAGAATGTCGCCACCTGCTGGTAAAGCTAGTAAATTGCTCTCAAACTTACACATCTCTGTTTACAGATCTCAGCGGGACACAGTGGACAAAATTCCACAAATGTGTAAAAGGGAGGTTACAAATGTCACGTGACCTGCAAATTGACAGGAAGCAATCCGCAAATGTGTAAAGACAGTTTTGTGTGTAGAAATGGAACCACAAATGTGTAAATCACACTATGTATGTGAACAAAAAAGATCTTTGTACAGATTTAATTGTGTGTATATGCAAATCACACTGTATTTTTGTGGATATGATTTTACACAACACAAATGTAAAAATACATGTTTTAGGTTGTGAGATATTTGTGTATATGTTTATTTACAGATCTCCACAGTACACATTGGACAAAATTCCACAAAAGTGTAAAAAGGAACTTACAAATGTACACATTTGTAGATTTTCCTGTGGGTTACAAATATTAAAGTCCATTTAAATCTTCCATAAATACTTAGTGTTAAAATGTTGCATCTGATTCAGGTTGGTGGGAAGCACATTTTCAGCAGATATTTTATATGTTAGTAACTAGCTATTTTACAAGTTTACATTAGAATTCAAGAAAGCTGTTCTTTGTTTTTGACAGACATCTGACAACATCTCAGTGAGTCATTTTCCGAGCGTCTCTGGTGATACAACTGAAGTGAAAGCCCCTCCAGACTGAGCAGAGATCTCATGGCCATCCGCCACCAGATGGACGACCACTTCCAGGGAGCAACACCTCACAGGAATGGCAAATGATCGGGAGGGTCAATGACCGTGTGCTGTTTGGCTTGTACATTGTCTTTATCATTGTCAGCTTCATCACCATCATCAGTATCTGGATCTATAACAACTCGTACGAGGCACGAGCTGCCTAGAGGGTTGCTAGCAGTCAATATGTTATTGGTATTAAAAACTATGGATAAACAGTCAATCTCAAGAAACATGCACATCGCACTGCACAGCTGTGATAGCTATAAAAATTTTTATTTGTTTTAAAACCCCAGTCAACACCTTCAAAAAATCCTTGGCCATGATCTGTAACTTCTACTAAACTCAGGCTTGCCTGTAGGGCCAAATTGTCTTTTGTGCTTAAGTCAGAGATTAGATTTTTGATTACGGAGTTTTATAAAATGTATAAAACAAAAAATGGGGCAGATAATTGTGATATGCGTGTGCAAACTTCTTTCATTTCTTTGCAGATTGCATTAAAATACATCAACAAACTTAATCATTTGAATGGAGGAACTGAATGCACCTATTTGAACTTCATGATTGTTGTATGGCTACAACATTTCCTCTTTTGGATATTGTTTCCATTATCATAAGTATTCCTGCATACTGTGGATGGCCCCTCATAATAACCTGAATACTACAAACCCAAAATCATCTAGATCATTTACAAGTTAGACATTTGATTGTCTTACTCCAAGACACACAGTTTAGGTTTAATGTGACTTAGTTTATTGACTATGTCACATTATATCAATAATGGCGCCATTAGCTGATTGTTGACGTTTTTAAACGGTGAAAGCTGTTTGATTTAAGTAAGTAGTAATTTAATTGAAAGTAATAGTAATTGATTTAGGTATGTTGGCTATTATATAGTTGCTAGAAATGAATACATCATAATTGTCTACATAACCTTGTAACCTGAGCATCCCAGATTAGATTTGATACACAGTACTGTGCCATACAGTCTATGTGCCAGAGGTATAGGCAGGTGTAGAAAAAATGCTATAAAGTAAGAATGCTTTCCAAGATAGAAATTTTGATAGACTATAAATTACCAAAATGCAAAGTGAGTAAACAGAAGAAAACCAAATCAATATATGATATTATATTATTATATATATATATACAGTATATTATATAATATTATATAATACTGAGGCTGTTTTAAAGGCAAAGGGTGGTCAGTGTACCATCAAAATGATTTTGAAGATGTTATTTTAACATAAAATTACAAGATGGCGATGGGCTGAGCCACCCACACTGGGCTTCACAATCGCTCTTCAGAAACCCACGGGTGACATCATAGAACTACATCCATGTTTATGCTGCGTTCGAGATGACGGCGGCTGACTTTCGCTGACTTGATAGTCTAACGTGATGAATTGTAATAGATTTTGATAATTCCTTAACCTTTCATCTAGTACCATCATCAAGTGAAAAAAGTAATTTACAATACTGTGGTTTATGAATTAATACCTGCCAAACTAATGACATTCCCATTAGCCTCAGCTGTACTTTCAGTTTAGTGCTAATTAGCAAACACTATTAGTGAGCACACTAACACTCTTAACCATCGCATCCCTAAAAGAGACACAGCATCATTTTATTATATTCTTATTATATTCTCTAGTAGGCAAATTGACCCAACAACAAGCCACGGGCATACCTTTGTGTTTGTTTTGGCCTCAACTGTCACAAATACAAGGGAAGTTGTTGACACATTATAAACCAAAAACACCTGTTGATCATTTAAAAAACTGTTTTATCAATCACTATTCAAATACAATCACTCACAGATGAGTGGATCTCTGCAATTAGTCGATTGAGTTAATATAAGCCTCCAGAGAAGGTTACACATTTCACCAAACTACTGATAAATTTATGTTGCTCCGGCAGAACTAAGTCTCATTCTAATGGAGCGGACTGTTGACTTTTTTGTTTAGTAATCTGGGGCACTTCGTACAGTATAGGCTTAATTGAGACTAAACATGACAGGGGCGCAAACATGAGAAATTTATATATAAGGATTTTTCAGATTAAATGTAATATCATTTGTTTACAGGTTTTCTGCATGCCTTTAAGCCATTCTGAATTGGATGAGTATGTTGTTTTCTTTGGATTTTGTTGGATTAGAGCAGTTTGTGCAGCCTTGTTATCTGAAACTGTTGGGACACTTGGGCCAGTGAGAATGAAGCAATTTTCACAAATTAAAACACCATCCTGAATGTAATGGAACGTGTTCTGTAAAGTGATTGATTATTAACATTCACTACAACAGACTTAACTCCATTACCTGCAGAATGTTTAAAAGCATTTTACAATGGGTAAATCTCATAAACATAGAGCCTTACAGTGGCTCAGGAAACATAGCTCCCGTATTTGTTTCTTGCTTTTTCTCAGAACTTCACAATTACATGTTAACATGACAACCAAACAAGGAATTTCCAGCTCCTGGTTTTGAATGAACTGCACCCTCTAGTGGTCATAGTTTAGATACTATTACAATATTTATTTTTTTGTAAGGAGATTTAATGCTAATGGTGTCATTATTTTAATACATTATAGGATGAAAACAGGCCAACCTATACATTTTAAAACATGAAGTACAGTAGCCAACTGGTGTATCTGACTGGAAGAAAATGTTAAAAACAAATCATAATCAAGATTCATATGCATTTTTAGGTATATTACTGAATCCATCCCCACAAGATCAAGCTGCATGGATTTCTAATTTCCCTGTTTCAGTGAGATGGGCTGTTTTTCTGTTTGCATGTACAGTATGGCACCTAAGGGACCCCTAAAAGACAAAACAGTTCACCACAACGAGGTAAGCCTTGGATCCGTTTGTCCACAGAACAGTTGGCTTGATGTGGAGCGGTTCTAAAACATTGTTCATAGTTTCTAATAGATGTGACTTAAGCAGTAACTACACTGATCAATGTCCTCTTGACATGTTTTACAATGCAAGGTCAAAAAAACATACAAGTTATCTACTGTCCAATTATAGAGATGCCCATTGGTCAGTAAATGAATAGATAGAGATTAACATAACATATATTATATGTAAACTATTTCAATATTCTAACATGACTACATGTGTCATGAATATTTCCTGGGGTCACCAAGATCAGGATGTACTGCTTCTGTGTACGCTAGGGACACAATATCTCCCATTATATACCGTTAGATAGTTCCAGTTGGCTTTTAATGGTTCAGCAGTTTATCTATCTCATTTACCAGTATGCATTTCTAGTGTGAAATGTTGTTCTACTTCTGATGTTTAAGATGTGGTAAGAATGTTTTCTGTTTCGAAGAAATAGACTAGAGTCAAAAACTACCAACACAGTTGTACCACATATGTTACTCACCACCAAACTCATACACACTTTAAGTATACATACTGAACAGCATTTAACTATTTCCTGTTATTTATTGAGATAAATGGAACAGTATAAATATATAAATGGTTAACCTTTGAACCCAGTTAAAGCCAAACTGCAACATGGTCTTGTATGTAAATACAATATAGCGAGACATAACTGACATGTGACCTGAACATTAATGTAGTCTTTCTGCTTGATAAACCGGGTACATTATGTAAGGCATAAGATCTGCTACAGAGGACACACTTTTGCACTGTGTTAGGAGTATGGTTTTATGTTCATTCTTTCCTGTTTAAGTCCACTTTTGGTTCTGTGTTTCTCCGTGTAGTCTTGTTTAGTTAGTTCTTAGTCCTGTGATTATTATTATTCATCTGCATCTTTAAGTTACTTAGTATTTGTCTTGTCTCGTATCTTAGTTCCTAGTTCGGTGTCTTAGTTCTTAGTCCTGTACATTAGTTCATGCCTTAAAGTGTTTACTCCTGGTCTGTGTTCTTCTGTTGGTTGTTATTTTGCCCCATGTCTGCTTGTAAAGTGTTTCGTCTGTTCCCCCAGTTGTCTCTCTGCCTGCCTGTGTCTCATCAGCCTCATGTCCCTCACCTGTGTGTCTCCTCCCAGCTCGTTAACCCTGTGTGTGTGTGTATATCCTTGCTGGTTTCCCCTCAGTCTTGGTCCGATCATTGTAGTGTGTAGACGCTCTGTCCCATGTTGCTGTGTGTTGCCTGCCAACCTTACTAGTCGTGTCACCTGCCAACCTTACTAGTCGTGTCACCCTGTTTCCCTGGATTTGGATTTCTGTTGGATCAACTGTTTATTTGGACTCTGGATTCAGCCACTCTGTTGTAAGTGTGCTTGCTTTTGTTTGTTGGAATTAAACCTTCTTTGAACTGCACTCGCTTGCTCTGTGTCCTGCGTTTGGGTCTAACCTGCTCAACCACCACAACACCCTGACACATTGTACTGTAGCTCAGTTCTCTTTTTATCCCTTGTGTCTCATTACATCACAGCATAGAAAGTAGAAATTTGAAACAAGGCACCCATGAATCCGATGAGGACTCAAACCTTCCAGAGGTCTGTATCTTTATGTATCAAGGCACAAGATCCTTCATGCGACATGAACCTTTTCTTCTTCACTGCCTTGAGAATGCACACCATAAAGTTAAAGCAGATCGGATAACTCCTTCAGTTTCAATAGGGTCCTTGCATGTTTCATGACAATTGAGTAGCATAATGATACTTTCATGACACAAACCAACACCGGCACTACAAGATAATGTCACTTTGCACAAGAAATTTTTAAACTGTCCTCCAGGTAGTGCATCACTTTGACACAACAGATTCAGGTATTTTTAAAAACACATTAGATATAAAAGTTTCACAGGGGTAGTTGCATTATACCTTTTGTAAGATTTTGACCATTCTGGCTGCCATCTTGCCTGTTTGTGGGCAGCGCTGTTTGGACAGGAAGTCCATTCTGGTGCAGGAAGGACATGGCATAGGTCTGCACCTCAGTGTGGGGTTCTTACTTTCCTGAGTTCATTATCTTCAGGACATACTCGCCACCCTCCATTGCTGCCACATAGAGGTTCTGGTCATCGTAGCTTGGCAGCGAGCGAATTTCTGATGGCGGCGGGGCCTGAAGAGCCTCAACAACATGCTATCAGCAAAAAAAGTTTAGCTGGCTGAAATGTACGGAACAAAACCATCAAAATAACCTTATATATGATCATTTTAAATGTAAATTTTAGCCTGAAAGTGTCATACAGCAAGCTGCATACCTTTTTAGGAATCAGATTAAATAATTTTGCCAATATGGAATATTTTTCCAGTGTTATGTTTTACTAGTGTTTTGTTATCTGTTGTAGATAAAATACATGTTCCTTCATTTAAGAAACATTGCCAGACTCAAACCATTTGTCAAAATCAAAACTAGAGACGATCATGCATTAATTTTTTCCTGGTTAGACTACTGTAACTCCCTTTTCACCTGCCTCAGGCAAGTTGTCCCTGGACCGCCTACACACGTCCAGAATGCTGCTGCAAGGCTGTTAACCAAGTCTAGCAGGACAAGTCACATTACACCCATTCTGTCTTCATTACATTGGCTCCCTGTCAGGTTCAGGACTCCGTTTAAGGTGCTTGTTTTTACATAGAGCCCTGCATGGTCAGGCACCTGGATACATTTCTAACCTGCTTCACCCATACCACTTGGGTCTTCAAACTAGTGATTACTTGTTCCACATGCTCCGCTGAAAACAAAAGTTGATCAGGCATTTCAAGTGGTGCATCTGACACTGTGGGAGGCTCTTCCCTTAGACTTCCGTTCTGTGTCTCTGTTGATGCCTTAAAAAACATTTGAACACTCTTTTAATTGTCTTGCTGATTATGTTTTATTGTTGTCTCTTATTATTTGTACCTATATGGCTATTATTAATTTACTCTTGTAAAGTACTTTGTGCCTTTTTTTGTTCTGTAACAGGTGCTATATTAAATAAACTCTACTTGGTTTTTACGTGGCAGTAAGAGACAAGAGGTGTAAGTGTGTGTGTGTGTGTTCATGGGGGATAGATAAGTTGTTGTGTTTTTGTTTTGTTTTTTAACTGTATAGGATACCGATACATTTTGTTACAACTTCAACAATACCACTACTGATATTGATCGTTTCTTATGATATGTGGTATGGTATGTGTAACATACATATGAATAAAATAAATTAAAATACCATTAAACATGTGCACATTTGTATTTACATTGAGATCTTCATCCTCTTAAACAGGCCATGATTTCTCCAGAGCAACTGGAAACTATTTGTGGCACTTTTTTGTCACAAGTCTTTTGACTCTATATGTTTGCTGTATGACAGTTACAATACAGGTAAGAAACAAAAGCAGCATGCTCAGTTTCTCATGCCAAACAGGTTTCCACAGTGACACGGGCCAGGGCTGTTTATCGGCACAAACATCTTACAAAAGTACTGATAACGTTTGGAAGTGATGCAGCCACCCATGTTTTGTATTCATATCATTTTATTCTCTGTATGTGTTAAAGGAAGCGATACCAAAGGAATAGCTTGAACTTGCGAAGTATCAATCCCGCAGTATAAAACCGCCCATCCCTAGTGTGGGTATAAGAGAACTTAAGGAAAAGGCAAGGTGAGCAGAGTAGTGAGTGAATAAACACTCAAATAAGGTGGAGAATAAAATAGAATTACGATGGTGGAATAAAAACCTACTAGAAATAGAAATATGCCCCGTTGACGCTCCAATCCACAGTCGCACTGTCACTCTGTGGGAAACATTAGTTAAGTGACCCTTTGTGTTCAACAAATTCACTGAGACATCACTAAAATTACATAATTAGCTACATCAGATAACAGCCACCAGCCACAATTACAAACACCATTATTCACACGTCAGTAGATCTACCTCAAGTTGTGTAAAAGGGAATGATAGGTAACAGGTTACGTGGTGGTGTGAACACCGCTGACATCCAAACAAACTCATGAACCAAGCGGCATCAATCTGGTCTGAAAAAACGAAGCCACTGCGGATATGCCTTAAGCCTGCACTCTGTCTAATGGCCAGCGGGGGGCGACTCCACAGGATGCTAAAAGAAGACCGATTGCAATAAACTTATGGCAAAAGCAAGCTGCATGCCTTTGTAGAACTTATATTGAATACTTCTTCCATTTTGGATTTTTTTTTTTTACCTTAAAACTATTATTGCTGTTGTAAAGACTGATTTTCTATTTGTTCCTACAAGGGCATTTCAAGATCGATCACTTGCACCCCATTCCTAATAGTTAGTAAATTAGTCACAATTTCAATCTACATTTGGTTAATTAAAGATTTGAATATACCATTACTTTTAAGTAATTCATCAAATAAAAATGACCCATTTGTAAAGCCTCTCCAATGTGAGGATTTGCATTTTTCCCTTGTCTCTAACCATCGAAAACTGAAACTATTGTTTGTTTTGTTTGTTTTATGTTGCTTTTGCCAAAATAGCAAATAAAAGAGGGCATGTAGGACTCTATTTGTTCTTATTTTCTGATATCTCACATACAAAAAAATGAATGACTGAATCAGGAAAATTAAACTTGGCTGCAACCCAACTTCCTATAAAACAAAACGTTTTTTGTCAGTTTCTTTCATTTAAGAAACATTGCCTGTCTCAAACCAGAACTACATGATCATGCATTCATTTCATCCTGGTTAGACTACTTTAACTTCCTTTTCACCTGCCTCCGCAAGTCGTACCGGGACCACCTATAAATGTCCAGAAAGCTGCTGCAAGGCTGTTAACCATGCTTAGCAGGACAAGTCACATTACACCCATCCTGTTGTCATTACAATGGCCCCCTATCCGTTTCAGGACTCAGTTTAAGGTACATTTACATTACATTTCCAACCAGCTTCCCCCATATATCACCTCCAGGCCACTTGGGTCTTCAAACCAGGACTTACTAGTTGTTACTTACTAGTTGTTGTTTTTCTTATTAAGCCTAGCACACAAAAACAATGACACTCATCAACAGTCTGGCCAGTCTTTTATTGTCAACATAATTACAGAACAAAGGCAAATTAACTCAATAATCACAATAATATTAAAAATACAATTTTTAATAACAAACACTTTAATCTGTAGTGCACTTTAAACATCCGCACACCACCATGTTAAAGGCAGTCCACGGACAAACAATCTGCTGAGCTGACGAGGCGTTTCAGAGTCGAGTGTGTTCATCAGGAATTGTACACATGAAGTAAAGGTTGTTGAGGATGTACTCTGGAGCCTAATCCATTAATAGGTTGTTACTTAAAAAAATAAAATAAATAGCAGTTTGCATATTTGTTTTCCCACAACTTTCCTCCTGTCGTTAACTATGGCATGAATTTCATTTTCTTTCCCAACGCACTGCGGTGGCTAATCTAATTAAACAATTGAGAATAAGCCATAGATGTACAAATACATTGTAACTGCTGAAAGAAAAAGTATATCTATAAACTAGGCTAGTGGTTCTGAACCAAATGGGTCCCACGGTAAATCTGAGGGGTAACCAAAACTTAATTTCTCTTTTATTACTGTAAAACACTGGAAACCTTTACCTTTTGCAGTCTCTAAAAATTCTTCATGTAAAACTTAAAAGTAAAAAGAAAAATTACTGCTCAAAACTCATGAGCGGTCACAAGTAGACATGGCTTCAATTTAAAGGAATACGCTTATTCACTTTCTTGCTGCGAAGATCGATACTACTCTCTCATATTTAGCTAGAGGAACTAATGAGCAGCCTGTTAGCTTAGCTTAACCAGTTGCCAGGCAATTTACAGAGATTCCAGGAAATCACTGGTCCTAGCCAAGAAATAGTCAGTACATAAGCCTTAACAAATGAGATATGATATTCATTTGTGAGTTAGCAATGCAAGGCCAGTTTTATACAGAGCAAGGCTAACTGTTTCCCAAAGTTTCCAGTCTCTACTCTAAGCTAAGCTAACTGGCTGCTGTATTGTTTTGAGTATTCTTTTAAGGAGTCACAAGCCAATAAGGCTGGGAATCACTGTAATATACTGATCTGTTGGAAAAGATGTGAAGAATTTCCATCCAAGAGGCGATTAATACATTTTGTTAATGATCTTGCTACACGTTAAGAGTGTGAATATCATCTATTAAAATATGGCTCTTATTTTGGACTGAAACCATTAACAATGTAGTGCACCGCTGATGACAGGTGCTTCATGGAAGAAACAGTAACATTTCCCGGTGAAGGTTTGTGTTCTTAGAAATGAACATTACAAAAACAAAACAAATAGTGACGTCCAAACTCAACCCGCCCAACAGCAGCAGCAGCAGCAACAACGACAGACAGATTCAGTGCAATTAACTACACTCTTGCTATTAATCCAAAACCTAGTACATTAGAAAACAGGCAAGTGCTGATTAGGCTGGTGCAAACCATTTGTGCATGGCTGCATGTACAGCAGGTAGACATGTGTGCACATACAAATACAAGCACTCTTATTCACACAGCTTCTTCTAGTAACCACACACACACACACAAAGCAGCACAAAAATGGAGGATCTGCAGTTTCATTAGCAACACTGACTGTAAAACCCCTTTCTGAAGTCCAGTCCTTCAGTAAATTTAACTTTCCAATGTAACTCCGTCTGCTCCACCAGTATAAGTTCATTGGTCCCAGAGGCACATAAGCCTGACTAAAACAGCTTAAAACAGGACAGTAAGGAGCGGGTAGAAAGAAAGATTAGTTAAATATCTTTAGTATTTTCTAATTAAAATAAAAACCTCAGCACAAAGGGCAGGATTGCGCAAATACAGTGTCTGCACTGAAAACCAGTGAAATCATAAAAGAGAACTAAACTTTTACTTGTCATTTGAATTAAAAAATATATATATATTCCTGCCATTTTAAGTCACAAAAAAAACTAGCTAAGCCAGTAGCCGATAAAATCACCAGAGTTCAAGCAGTTGCCAGAAGCTGCATTGTAAGTAATATCAAACCTGGGTAAAATAGTCCAAGCAAATGTGTCTGATCTACTTCTCAAAGTGTTGACAGCTGATTTCTCCTACAGAACAACCTTTCTGGACTGTGCATCACAGGTGCAGCGCTGCTCAAAAAAGTGAAAACAAAAGAAAAAGAATGACACAAAGAAGAAAAGTGTTCTTACTCCTCTCACAGGCCAGTGAAAAAATTAATTTTAAAACATATTAATGAAACAACGGAGATTGCTGGGTTGTTGAGGTTTTTTTTACTGCCACTAGGAGTCCCCAAAGTCAGAAATTTCCAAATCCTACATTATTATTATGTGCGAGGAAATGTAATTTATAAATTGGTTTAGGAATTAAATATTGAGGATGAACCTATTAAAGAAAAATGTTAAAGAAAAAAAGTTGGAATATAGTTTTAAAGCTGTTCCATTACAGACATTAGAAAATTGCACAGCCTGAGACATTTCTCTGTAAAAGTCACTACATTTTCATGGAAAATCGATTCAGTCTCCTATAAATATGAAGCTGACACAAAGAAACCACCACAATTCACAGAGTTAAGTGCTTGTGTGAAGGGGGCTTAGCTCACACTAAATGCTCCTGACTGTCATGACATTAACACAACTAATGCCCTGATGTAGTAAAACCTTCTCATCTGTCAATTTATTGAGATTCAAAAGATCTGTTTGCAGTGAGTATTGTCACCCAGGTCTGGAACGGAAAGAGGCGGTCAGCCACTACAATCATGGTCGATTTGTGCTCTACTTCGTTTGTCTCCGAGTTTCTTCTGTCCCCAGCACTAGGTCCCGCCTCCCTCGTCTTCTTGTTCCTCCATGTTTTTGCGTGCCATTCTCTCTCTCCGCTCTGCCAGACGCTGACATCGAGGACAGTCTTTACCTGTCCGGAAGCAGCTGCGATGGTAACACGCATGGCATTCTGAAAAGGGGAGAAACGTCACAGAAACAAGGGTCAGTGACACTTTAAAGCGTTTACAACACAAATCAGCTCCATCGCCTAAACCAAACAATGCTGCAGTGTTCACAAATGCTAACCAGTTAGATCAGTTTGCTGACAATGACATGTCAGCCAATCACACTCAGATCTGAGGGAAGGGTGTGAAGAGTATAAAAGACAGACAAGATAAAGGCAGAAGGCAGAAGGCAGGACGAAGCGGGAATGTGAGAAGCTTTTCTGGCAAACACGCCTCACCCTGAACCCGTTCAGACTTATCCCATTCTTCCAAAAGAGGCCACCAGAGTGCTTTAAAACCCTTCAATGTCTTCACTACTCTGCAACAACAGAATCTTGAATGATTTCTACGCCACCCCACCACCACAAAATTTTTTTAATGAAAGATAGATAAAATGACAGGCAACTCAAATTCAAAAACAGTGTTTATTTCATGTTCACATGAAGATGAAGCTTAAATATTAGCAGGCAGATCTGAAATAAAATAAAAGCATAAAGTACACATTCATTCAGACACATGTAGTCACCTTGCATCATAAGACATTCTTCCTTCAACAAAAATCGAAATAAAAAACAAAATGGCTTAAAAACAATCACATGATGAGGCAATCGCATGATGAGGCAGCGCAACAACAAGCATTGTTTCCTCCAAGCTCCATTTAAATGAAACAACACTGCTGATTTCACAGAGGGATCAACTGATTAGCAAAATCAGCTAAATATAGTGTTTGGTTGGAATGAAAACAGACCCCACCACTGGCTCAAGGGGAACATGTGTAACAGATTATTCTTACAGACGTCCAAACTGAAATTCATGACCGACGCAAACTGAAATGTAAACACTTATGAGTGTCACACCACTTTGGTATCATTTGTCATACTGTTTTGTCCCAAGTCAAAAGCCGTACAGAGCTCAGAGCCAATAACAAGAAAATGAAACCACTGACGGCAACTCCAGTGCCAGTCGTCAAGCTTAACACACCAACACCTCCAGAATCAAAACGAAAGAAGCATCCACCACCAAATATCTGCCAAATATCTACCCTCCACCAGTTGTGCAACTGTGCAAACGTCAGAGCCAAAGCCATGAAATGTTTAGTGCAAGGAGCTCAGTGCCAAATGAGAACAGCAGAAGAAGTGTGCAAAATGCTACATACCACCAGACGGTTAAAAGGTTGTAAAAAGTTAGATTAAAGAGGGAGGAAGAACAGAGGTAGGAGTGCCCAAATAACCGTTTACATTCTTACAACATTTAAATACTTAAAGGAATAGTTATTTTGGCATTCAACATTTTGGAAAGCCAAGATGAGAAGGATTGATACGCCCTTTTCACACCAGCTGCTAAATACAGAGTCTAAATATACAGTCAGGAGGAAGTGACTACACCCAGCCAACAAATCGTGCACAAACCCCCATTAAACAACAACATGTAATTTTTACACTTTGTTTTAGTAAAGATTAAACAAACCAGGTACGATATGTTAACTGGTGCTGATTTGGTGCGAATTTTGTTACCACTGGACAGTGCCAGGCTAGCTGTTTCCCCCGTTTCCAGGCTTACGCTAAGCTAAGCTAAGCAGCTCCTGACTCCAGCTGATATTTTCCACATAGACATGACAATCTCCTCATCTGACTCGGCGAGAAAGCAAATTTCCCAAAACTATTCCTTTAATGTTCACTATTTTACACTTTTTACAAGTAATTGTTAAAACATTAATACTGCCAAGATGTTGGTCAAAATCGATAGATAGATAGATAATATTCTATATTGTCAATGTAGTTGCAATTTTGCAGATTATAAAGCTGCTCAATATATGTAAAACATGAGTGGACTAAATAAAACCACTGTAAACCTAGTAAACTCTTTTCACTGTTGCTTGATATGATATGCTTAATCCTGAAGCCCTCTTAACGTTAACTGTCATCAGTCAGTCATTCGTATCTCAAGAAATACGAGCTTCCGTTTTATTCCAGCTATTTAGTGTACTGTAACTTGGCTGATACTGTATAATTATCATCTTGCTCTTACTCTTGTCCTCCCCCTCTCTCAGAACAATAATCTACTTTCTCCATCTCTGCCTTCTGTCCTGCTCTCTTTTTCTGTCCCTTCTCTTATCTTTCTGCCTCTGTATACTCTCCTGGCTTTGCGAGTTTTAAAACCTCTCCAGTTAGTCTCGGTTATGGTGGCTGGCTCTTCCTCCTTAGTATCCATCTCACTTTTTCCATCACTCCCCCTGTTTCTATCACTCTCCCCCTTGCCACCCCCTCTAGTGATAACAGCCCCTTTCACTTCTGTTTTCGCTTCGTCCTCCATCTCTTTTTTTGTGAACCCGGATACCATCCAATGTACCTTCCTCTCTCGTCCTACTTCATCTAGACTTTCCACGCTGCTGCATGTTTCACTGTCACTGCCCCTTCTGTCTCCTTTAGAGATGTTCTTCTTTAGTCTGTCTATGTGAAGAACCTTTAATAAGTTAACTTTGTACCTTCTTGCATGCCCATCTCCCCTTTCCTTACTGTTTGCCATCTTTTTGCTATGTACCTCCCCATATTGACCATTTCCTCCCTCTTCTCCTCTACAACACTTTGTCTCTTTCTCCCTCTCTGACTCTGTACCTCCTGTCATCTCCTGCTCCTCCTTATTGCCTTTACTTCTGGAGAAAGCTTTCACTAGCTTTCCGGGAGTGAAAGCTTGAAATGTTTTCCCTCTTCCCTGCCTCTCTTCTGCTGTGCCCTGATCCACATCTAGCTCTACATCTTCCTCCCCTCCCTCCCCATCTTTCCTGTCTTGGAGGAGGACCCTTGCCAGCCTACGAGGTTTGGAGATCTTCCAGTCTCTCCAGGTAAGTGGAATGGCGAGGCGGGATAAGGGGGCTCTTGAGCCGCCCAACAGCAGAAAGGGCTCACCTTCGCAGCGCTGGCACTTGTTCAGCTGGAAGGGGAAGATGATGTCTTTGTCGTTGCTGCAGAACTCGCACACAAAGCCCTTCGCCTGGCACAGCTGGGAGAAACCGAGGCAAAAGTGACAGAAGGACCAGACATTTGATTAAACTTAAACTGGGGATCTCTGGTTATCTGCTGACATTACAACAGTTTCTGTTGCTGTATGATAGCCCGTTTCAGACTTCATCACTGCGATAAATTAACTCTCCATGTTAAAAGAGAAGACATGGTTATCTTACCACACAGCCAGCTACGTGCGTGGTACCAAGTTTAAGCAGCTCTTTCATCCGGGGAGCCAGATCACCGTTGCGCACAGCAGTGAGGTCATTGATGGAGAAGAGGTGAAGGTCCTCTGTCAGGTGACCTGGCAGGCTGTCAAACAGGTCCAGCAACCTAAAGAACACACAAACACACAAAAAGGTGAGATCCGTCTGCGCAGGGAGCATAATTTTACACACAAATATTTTGAAATTAGTGTGAAACTAAAATAAACAAACGCATCTTACTCTTTAGCAAAGCGACAGGTCTTCAGGAGATTTTTCATGTGAAACAGCTGCACCCTCAAAACCTAACAGAACCATAAAAATGAAGAAAACACCTTGTTACTTTAAGATACACTTTTAATACCTGTTTAATACAGGGTGGAAGGTAACACAAAGGCCAGGTTCAGTTCCCAGTTACAGCATATGGCAGGGGTCGGCAAATAAGTCTGGCATCGGGTCAGTAGGTGGCGGGCCAGAACATGGTCAATTGATTATTTATGATCCATTATTTACTGTGTGCCTTGTTAGCTCAGTCAGTAATGCACAGGACTCCCGTTCAATGGGTTCTGAGATCTGTTTCAGCAATAGCCGCTATTAGGTTTTTTTTGCCGCTATCACATTAATCTGGCCACGGGCCAGATATTATTGCTGGTGGACCAACTTTGGCCCGCGTGCCGCCTATTGCCGACCACTGGCAAATGGGCTGTTAAAGTGTCTCCGTCAGGTAGGTAGGTAAAAGCTTAAAAAACTATTCTGTACCATTTCATCTATCCATGAAAAGGTATGCACATTCTTCCTCTTTTAGCACAATCCTTCCTAATCCCGTCACCTAAATCATCAAGTTGACATAAAATGTGCTCTGAATTGAAAATGTATTAAGTGTGAGCGAAATAAATTTACTCTTATACTATATGGTAGTTATCAACCAAAACTGCAGAGAACATCTTTCACTGCTTTGAAGGGTCTGCTGTATTATTATATTCTAATACTTAAAAAAAAACAAAAACAAAAAAAAGGTACTGTATGTGTGAGACATTCTTATACCACTTCTGGCCACTGAGAAATTTGAGGTTATGTGGTTTGTATCACCTTACTGTTTGCTGTTAAGGGCATAAATGGCTCTATTCATTCTGGTTTCCCACACTGATAATTTGAGTAATTTAAGCAGCAAAACCGGTTCAGGGTCAATAATTTATAATGATACTTTATATTCAGCGAACAATAGTAACAATTTGGTCCCCAGTGGCTTTTTGAAATACATTTTATCTGCTTTTTATGGTGGGATTCCCACTAGTTACTAGTAAAAAGAAACAGCCAATGCCAATGCAACAGTTAATGTCTAATTTCCCATCCCTCTCCTGCCTCACCCTGACAGCCTCCAGAGCTTTGATCTTCTTGTACAGGCCAGTGTTGATGTCGCTGGGGTTGAACAAAGGGTCTCCGGCGATCTTGCTCAGCAGGTCCCGGGCAAAGTTGCTGACATAGTACTTGCTGAAGTCCCACTTCCTCAGCACTCGGGCAGGAACCACCGCCTGGGCATTCTCATGGCAGCACTGGCAGAAGTAACGGCCGAGGTATTCACAGTAACGCAGTCGCTTGATATAATCTGAAGTGGTGACAGGCAGGCAGCAGAAACACAAGCGGGGTAGAGGTAAGAATTTGGAATGATACTGAGTCTGAGAATAAAAACTGAAAGTGCCATAGGAAAACACCAAATTTTGGGCCAGCTGATTAAGCTGGAAAAAAGTCTTGTAGCTGCACAAAAACAAGAACTGAAACTGTAAATGTAAATTGACTTCCTGTGTTTTGATACCGTTTGATTAATGAAACCTGTTCAAATGCACATTAAAAGTGAAATGCTTTGCAACATTTTCAAAGACAACAAAATCATGAAAAATCCTTTTCCTTCATTCTGGGCCTACAGAAGTATTTCTGGTGTTTGCTGTCATACCTGGGTCAATGCGGGTGCCACAGCCAGCGCAGCGGTAGTTCTGTTTAGCCACAACTATCTTCCTCCTGACACGGAAAGAAAACATTTAATCCAACATTCTGTAGGACAAAGAGTGGTCTGATCCTAACCACAAATGACACAAAGACAGCTTGAAGCACCTTACTTTGAAAAAGAAACATTTCAGAACTCAAAACGTGTCACACTACATCTACTTATGTTGGTCTTTTGCTCTGCGTGTGCTCTTGCTGATCTTTGCATTTCAGAAGAAAGTAAAAATAAAGATTTCCAAATTATAACGCAAGATGTTTTTTCCCCCCTTTTTGGCAGCCCTTTTCTGAGCCGTATTTGGTACAGATGCCGAACCAAAGAGGAAAGACTTCAATTTTTGCTGCCTCAACATTGTTATTGTGAGAGGTCTCACATAATGAGATTAAGCCTGTAGGCTTGTTATCAACTCTAAACCAGAAAGGTACAGCCATAATCATTTAAAATCTTGTAGGCTCACTCTGCCAATTCTGTTGTAATGTGCATTTCATTAGCAAAAATAAATATTTAAGCTACGCTCTGTTGTGTGTCTCATGAAAAAGAAAGTCGGGAAGGTCAGGTACAACCCAGTGTGGACTCACTTGGGGGCTGGATGAATGTTGAAGATGATCTGCGGACGGGGCGGAGCCCACTCCAGGTTGCCTCGGACCCGAATCCTCAGCTTGTAGATGTCGGCGTGTTCACCATCATCAGGCGAGATTGGCAGAGAGTCAGGAATGGGCAGCAGCTAGGAGAGAGCAAAGAGGTTGAGTGAGTTCAAAGTAATCGCAGGGAGTGTACTTGCTGAGTGCCATGTGCGGATAACTAGTACTATGTGTAAGCAGGATGTTGCACCTTTTGTGGAGCATCGTGTTCTGGGACCAGCCAGTCGAGCTCCGAGGCTGCAGGAAGCTGCATGCCTTCAAATTGCCTGAGTAAACCCATGGCTACTGACTCAGCTGAGTTAGACTGGAGGAAGGATGGAGAGCTGAAAATACACAAAAGGACAGAATACATTTTAAAAATCCAAGTAAGACATACATAGATGTTTTCTGCCACTAATCCACAGAGCTGACACAAAATCCCCAACATGATTCATATTAGTGCTATTTCTTAGAGGGCGAAGGGAAACAGGACATGGCTGTGTTACTTACATGGAATCTGAGCTGAGAAAGGACCTGCCACTGGAGCATACGCTGCGCTTAATGTCTGCATCTGGAAGATAAAGCAAGAGTGAAATATACAGAGATTTGACCACTTAGGAGCAGTGTACCAGTCCTACACGGTGAAAAAAAAAAGACCTTTTTATCTACCAGCCATACACACTTAAAGATTCGTAATACTTGCATAATGAAATCAAAAATGTTACGATTAGTAGAATTATAAATAACTGTCAGATGGATGAATTTGGATAAACCAGGATGGATGAACCAACAGTTGGCTGGTGGATGGTGTTTTTTTTCACACCACAGGTCAGATGGCACAATTTTCTACAGCTAAGCAGCGGTCAACGTTCTGAGAAGAAATTATTTGACAGACATTTGACAGAGCTGTGATCAGGGGCAAGACAACCTCTCGCTAAAGATACTGAAGTGAAAGACCACATCACAATCAAGCAAGTTTTACATGTAGCAGGTAACATGCAGGAAGGTCACAGAGAGATTCAAAAGATAGATTATTGCTGCCATATTTTCTAGCAACACTCCACAAACAACAGGTAAGCAAAGACCTAAAGCAGCACAGGTTTGGTAGAACAGGAGCCCGCCTGCAAGAATTCTTGGATGATTGTAACAGCTTCTTTTTATCAGTAGATCAACATTCTTGTTTATTCAAATAAAACTAGATTCAGAGCCCTTCTGTCAGCCACAGTTCTTGCATTAAAGAGCTGGATAAGCAAGTTAGTCAGCTGCAGGCTTTAACAAATGGCCTTTGTTGTTTATGTGCAGGAATTGTTTCAATTGGAACGGAAAAACAATAATTAATTAATATGGTATCTGTTCTAGTCTTTATCTTTGAAGGTTAATTTCATAGCAGAGAGTGGTTTTGTTTCATGCAAGGTGGCACACCACTGCTATAAAACATGTCCTGCTACGGCATCTGAGACAAATTTGTGTAAGAGAATTCAGATTTTTTATTTATTTCCATTAGGTTTAAAGATTGTAATTAAGTTCAGGCAAGTGATTTTGTTTAAGGGATGCAATTAAGTATCAATTATTTGGGATTATTTGCCTAGATAGATGCATTCAGTGTTCATTTCACTAATGCAGGAAAGCATAACATTTTATCAGTATTGCATAAATTCCCAAGTACAATCTGGTTTTGTTTGATATATTCTCAAACTAATTAGATGCAGTCATGTTCAGGGTTGTAGAGAAGGCAGCCAACTTTGCTAAGTTATGCCATAAATTGCCACAAAAGAGAACCCTGTTTTTTCCAGAGACAACTAGTATTGGGTTTATTTAAAATTTTAAAAAGAACAAGGTGGAAGGATGTGTGTGTGACAGCAATGACATCTCATTCTCACTGGAGATAATAAATAATGGTGTGGATGAAGATATGAATGAATAAATAAATAATCCCTGTAGTCCCAGTCGCCAGAGGATGCCACTTGTTACTGTAACTCACTCGTCTCTTCCCACGAGCCTCTCAAAACTCGAACAAGAACAGGCACATCTGTCCTACCGCACCTCCTAAACCCTGGAGCACTATGCAACAAGCACCAACACAAACAGCCAAGCGCACAACTCATCTGAGGTGAGGAGGCAGCTGGCTCGACTCCAAACTGAAAAGTTACAGTGTTCCCCACCCTGCCTAATCTGTGTCATCTGAATAACACAGCCACTGAAGTACAACAGCTGTTTTCACTCTTTCAGCAGCTGCATATTATTAGTTTAAAAAGGGAAATCACATAATGGCAGCTGATTATTTGCCTGGAGTAAAAAAGTTTAAAATTTAAATAGTTACAGGATGGCGTTTATTTCCAACTTTCAGTAAGTTTGGTTATGAGCTGAATTCAGGAACTGAACACTGCTATTGTGATTGTTTAGCAGTAGTAAGTACACTGATGTTTGGTAGTTTGCACATTAGCACAGCACCAGTACTGGCTGCAATGTGTTGTTCCCGTCTTTTGTCCACCATACTAATGACTTCTGTCCAAAAACATACAAACGTACATATTTCCATTTTTTCAAACACTATTTTTTGGCCAATGGGCGTTAAGAATAGTAAATCAACCCAAAATGAATGTTAGTAAAAAAAGATATATTATATATAGGGTTGTTTTTTTTATGTCATAAAAAGTCATGGCTTTGTGAAAACAGTTTCTATAGTACTTTGCCTATCATTTTAGCACTTGTACTGGTACTGCAAAGTGAAAGCTCTCAATCTGGATATATACTAAAAAATAAGAATTACAGTATTTACAGCCTATAAGTGTTTAAAAAAAAAGTGGTTGATGTTTATTCCTAAAGTGTCTTTCACTTACACTGGAAGATTTTTACAGAGACAAAAAATAAGCTATAAATCGTTAAAGGGAAGAGTAAATGTTGAAGTGTCACCCAGTTTCGCAGGAGGGAAAAGGCAGAAATTCTCAGTTTGGAGTGGAGCCATGAGCTTCCCCTCACCACCACAGTAAACAGTCTGTGTGTAGCGGTGGAGCCTCGCCCCCCGCGTCCAGCCTGCAGATACCTGAGAAGAGGGAGGCGAGTGACAGGGAGAGGCCGTTCTGAGACACCGCCAGCAGGGACTGACCCTCACAGCCATCTGAGAGACAGAAACTAACACTCAGCAGAACCGTCACCACGAGCACGAACATTTTCAGCGCTCCACAGAGCTGTGTGTCAGTGTCACAGGCAAACAATATAGTGTGCTGCCTTGATACAATACATGTGATGTCATGCAGTTATACAGCCCCGAGATCCAACAAAGTCTTTATGCTTGCGCTGCAGTACTGATGAGTACACACAAACACAGTCAAACACATTAAAGTACATGCACGTATGAAATCCCACAATCCATGTTAACAGTATTAAAGCAATACATGTTCAGATATTACTACGTGGTGGTGATTACTATGTTGTCTCTTTTTGTCACACAAAACAGCAACTGACATCTATTCAATCCGATCACATTATCATGACCACATTCTAGACATGACGGCTCACGTGACTGTAGGTAGGTCTGCATAAATAGTAAAAACATTTTACAGTCACAAACATTATGACCTTTGTACTCTGAATTCCATGTTTATAGCCCATGATAAAACATGAATATAAAGGAAGTGTGGCAGGGATGGAAATTAACACCCGCCGCCCGTCAAATGCGGGTGGATTTTCCGTTTGGCCACCAAATGTTGGAAGGCTACTCACCACATTTGCGGGTAAATTTATTCAGCATATAATTAACAGCGGACACGCGTTCTTGTTTGTTGTGTGTCACAATTAAATTGGTCCCCGATGTACCAAGGGATCTAAAATCATGTAAGACACGTATTAGAGGCTTTACTTGTGTTTGATTGGAGTAGATTTGTAAGGGGTGGGTGTTAGGGGACAGAACGGCGCGGAAAGAATATTCGCATTTATGTTGTGTGTGTCACCAACTTTCCCTACTCAGAGGCAGATAAAATCTGCTCCATACCTTTCATAAAGTGCAGCGAGCCAGCAGATTGACACAATACCCCCGTGAAATAAGGCAGTGTGAAAGCTGCTAGTCTTAGGAGCTAATGACAAAAGTTGTACTAGGAGTGTTTTTAGCTGGGTAGTTGGCGGTCCAGTTTGGTGTCTGACACACTGTCAGATCTTCTAATGGTCCTGCTGTCCTCCCCAGAGATCAAGAAGATTGATCCATTGGCTGTATAAAAAAATAAAATGTTGATCGCACAAAAGCTGTGATGCCAGAACCAGGACTCCAGAAGAGGGTGATTGTAGAAAGTGAGCAGTCTGATGAGGAGGTTTCAGTTGAATGATAAAGCATGATTAAGAGTGAGCAGTGATGATATTTAAGTTGAATGATTAATAAGCATCTTGTAAGTTCAGAAAACACTTTACTGTTATGTTTTAAGTACATTTAATAGCAATAATATAATTTTGCTTCAAATGTCACTCTGGCCTCTTCTTTAAGTTTGTAACACAAAAGGCAATTTATTATTTCAGCTGATAAAAATATGTTTGGTCAGTGAATGTTTTCATCTACCAGCCACCTTGGCAGGTGAGCTAAAAAGTTAATTTCCACCCCTGAAGTGTGGTCATGAGATTATGAATTATGACTGGAACGGAAACAAACCCATTCACAAAGACATATGATTCTTCAGAGGCTTTGCATACATTTTATATACAAAAAAAAAAAATACTATTCCCATGGTAGATGTGAATATTTTGATTAAAGGTTCAAGCTGACAGCAGCTGGAAGGTAGGACTGCATCATTATATCACTCTGTAGCCTGTTCATCATCAAGTTAACAGATGATAGCTGAACTGACAGATACCCAAAATGTGCAGTCATGTGCCTGGATGTTGGTCTCACTGATTAGCGATAGTGAACTCAAAAAAAATAAATTAAATAAATACAGACATCAAATTCCTTTTGTGTTATTTTCTTCCTGTGTTAATCTTTCCTAGTGTTCCCTCATTCCCTCTCTCTACCTCGTAGTTCGCACTCCTCCACCTCCTCAGCCGAGCCGGAGTCAGAAAGGCCCTGGCAGGAGTCCTGAGAGCTCCTCCTGGAGCCTCCGCTGTCTGTCGAGTTGAAAACTGCAGGTGAGGAAGGAGATGAGAAACAAAAAACTTTTGTTTTTTTCTGATACTATGTAGCAGTGAGGCTAATTTACTCAGCAAGATGAAAAACTTCAGACTCAAATCGGTGAAATACATGAAGATGTAGGGTTGGGCGATGTGTACAAAATTTCCATCGGACGATGTCTACAATGAAACATCGTGACAGACGATGTCATCAGGTGCACGCGCACGGGCAGCAGTCATCTTATGTGCATGTGTTCTCGCACAGACTTCACGCGCTAAAAAATTGGTATACTATGTACTTACCTTACAAGTCGCGGTGGATATTTTACGCACGGACCAGATAAAGCAGTAGTGAACACACAGAGTGCAGATATTGGTTTCAGTTTGATAGGCTACGTCATTAATAAGCTGACCTGCTGCTCAACAGCTGCTGTAGTGCTTATTAAAGAATAAAGTACATTTGGCAAAGTTACTGAGATGCAACAACTAATGTCTCATTATTAAAAAGGCCCTTAATCAGTAAATAATAATCAACTAACAATTTCTTAGTCAATGAAGAATATATGGAAAAGGCTGCATCACCCTCTATCCATACAGGTGACTACTTTTCAATTTTCCGGCTCCCCACTGCTAACGTTGCCTTACTGTGCTGGGAGGTTGCGCAGGGCGGCGGGCGGCTGCGTCGGATCTGCTGCCTCCGCAGGCGGATCTTCTGTTTGAGCTGCTGAATCTCACAGTCGCTGTCGCCTTCCTCCTCGCGCTCCTCCTCCTCACGCCGCAGGTTGTACTTCATCAGCTCGATGGCAGCAATAAGGGACTCTGAAATGCTGAAATGAGCGTTCTCCTACAGAGCACAGACAAAATCAGAGACGGATCTTTTCACTCATGCAACATATCAACATCATACTTTCTAAACCTTAATTTATCATAGGTTTTGTAGAATTTTAGTACTAAATTCGTTTAAATAAAATATGCATTTTTACTTTATTTTACTTTTAACTGCACCAATTTGTATGAAAATTGTCGATAATCAGAGTTTGATGATTGATCAATCAGTACCAGCACTAGTGAAAATTAGAGAAGCAGTTAAAATGGACCACACCCTGACCTTTTCAAGGTCAGCACAGCTGCCAAAGTCCTGCTCTGACAAGTAGCTGATGAGGCTCTGACCCTCTGACGGCTTCCTGAACATCCCATCTGGAATGCTTCTGTATGGACAACCATCTGAAGAGACAAAAACATATCCGCAGAAAATGCATGACAAGAATACACAAAACAGAAAAGGAATTGTTTTGTCTTCACTTAAGTGTCTTAATGTATTCTATAGCTTTAAAATTAAATGTCTGGTCTCAAAACACCTGTTATATAATAAAATGCTTTGTACTTGCCAAAAGCCAACTGCATTCTATCAAAATATTTTATTGTCTAAACCATAAATCCCAGATGATAAGCTGAACTTTACTATAAATAGTCCAGCCAATAAAATATCTCCCTTTCTGTGACCTTCTTGCTCAGGTGCAGAACGTCACATTTATGAATCAGCTGACGCACTCGCTACATTCACATCCAGGAACTAAAAACTCCTTCAGAATTCTCCTTCAAGAAACATTTCATGTCAGTTTTTCAGTCCAACTTGCTTCCACATTTAAGTTTGAGGTATACTTTCTTTGGCTCATGTCTTCCTTAAAACTTCTAACAATCACAGGATAAGAGCAAAGTTTGTACAACAGTAGCTACAACATAACTGTAAAAGAGCAGTTTTAAGTATTGCAAAGACAAAATAAGAAAACTCACAAGACTCCATGTAGAGGGAACTGGCAGTGCTGGCATCACTGCGCTGAGGTGAGAAAGGGCCGCTGTAGTCCTTCATACAGCCGTCTACTGCTGATTCTAAGAAACAAGTGGTCCATGTTAGAGGCCTCTTATCACCTAAACGCCAGAGTCGCTGAATATTTTAAAATGAATGGGAACATGCGACTTAATTCATACACAAAGCAGGTTAAAGGCTGTTTTGATTTTATCATTGTCTTTGTGTCAAACAATCAATAAAATCTATGGAGATGGTTCATTTATTGCATGCAGAAACAAAAGCATGACTGCTGACCTTTTCAGAAAGAAATATCTGATACAGAAGTGATACACTTCTATGTATAATTGGGTAGAGAAGAGTGTTTCAGTTCTTCTTAAATTACTTGAGGAAATAAGCTTAGTATATTGCAATACACTATACCGCTGTTATTTACAGTATGCCTGCATCCTGTACATGTCACAAATACAGGAAACACCTGCTTAGCCTCACCTTTGAGAATTATACTTTTTGGTAATAGGGAAAATTAATCTGAAAACCCAAAATGACAATGCTATCAGGACATCACTAGCATAACTGTGATGAAATTAACACATTTACACACAATTTATATCTATAACTTCTATGATACTTTCAATAAAACAGAGATAGGTTGTAAAAAAATAAAACAAATAAAATAAAAAAAAGGTGTGCATGAACAATAACTAACAACAATAAAAAGGGGTCACTCATGTCCTGATCGCATCAATTTGACCCAAGTGACACAAACTAAAACGAGTTTAAACAAGAACATCAAACACCAAATGCACATATCATGAGCTGAAGGCAAGACTTTAAATGAGAGGGATGGAGAGAGTTCATCGGCATGCAGAGGGAAAAGAAACAGAAAGAGGGGTGGGAGGAGTCAAGTGATGGAGCACAGTGGAACTGCGCTGCCAACCTGCTACCGGATCTTCTATTATTATGGTGATTTTTCGGTGGCCCCCTCCTTCGCACAAACAGTAAAAAGAGAGAGAAGAGAGAGATAGAGCAGAAGGAGAGAAAGTTACCGCAACCCAAGAAGGGGAAACACTGAGCTAAGAGAAAAGAGTGTTAATTCCAAATCATTTAAAACCATCAGACAGGAAGTGGGTCCCTTTCCGAGCAAGAAGCTGTCCTAGCCAAATCTCACAGAGCTGCCACTAAACACAGACTACGCATCACATTAAAGGAATTATATTCTGGAAAGTATTCAAATTTAAACCCAAACCCCCCCCCCCCAAAAAAAAAACATGCAACCAAAACCAGCCGACTGCAGCTGATCATGACAAGTACAGCAAACCGTCATATGGTTTAATCTGTGAACATGCAGCGCTAAGCAATTTGTCACTGCATTGACGAAAAAATATACTAGCTAAAAAGCGTTTAAATCTGAAGTTCAGACACATTTATACAAAACACTAAGTCTTCAAAAAAAAAAATAAAGTTACAGGTTTTATTTCAATTAACTCTTCTAATTCAATACAACATAACTTACATACAAATAGATGGAGGATCCCCAGTTATTGTCATATGAGATCCCTCAACGCTGACTTACCATTCCTGAGTTTCTGATTGACCCCTGTGTCAGAAAACGAGCGTGTGTGTCCTCGGGACCCTCGGCCCGGCCCCCTCTGGCCCTCTGAGAAAGATGAGCGTCTGGGTGGGGGCCGAGCCAGGGAACACTGTGGCACGGACTGGTCCTGTGTCACGTCCTGCTCACTGCTGAGGGTAGAGCTTCTGGAGTCACACCGACTACGTTGCCCCAGGTTACCAATGGCCAGGTACTCCGGACCATCGTCCACGTCATAGTCGCCGTCACCAGAGTCCACGGCATCAGCCTGAAGGGAGGTGGCCGGGGGGGACTGTGTGATGGAGACGCAAGGGGCCGAGACGGGGCCAGGAGTGGGCGTCACACCTGGCTCGCTCTCTTCTGGCCTGGACACACACACCCAGGGAGCTCCCAGGCTGCTGCCTGGAGAGGTAGTGTCTGCAACAGAACAGGCATGAGGAAGGTGAGATGGATAGAGACGCAATCTTTTACAAAAACTAAAAAAATAATAATAATTAAGCTCACAGGCCTGCTTCTCACTTTGCCGATGTGGAATGGACAACGGTTTTTTTTAATCCAAAAAAGTAACAATGTTAAAATATGTTCAGGAAAACCGTTTTGTTGAGCACAGTCAGTGCAGGACATTTGGTGTTGGAGGCTGTATCAGCACATTCTTCAATAAGTGACCATCAGGTCTGTGTATGGTTACGTCAGTCAGTCTATCCACATTCACATACGAACTGTAGTGCATTCAGTGCTAAATTTCTGTTCCTAAATCAAATACTTCCTACCCTTATTTTCCCAAGAAACTAAGTCATTTCAGTATTTGATGTGAATCTTTTCGTAAAAGTAGTGAAGATCAGCTGTCGGCTGACACGGAGTTATTATTACAGCACATTTAGTTGAGCTTTAGGAGAACTTTCAATGAGATACATATGATTCAGCTGAATCAGAAGAAACTCCACATTAAAAGCATAAAATGGACAAATAAAAAATACTAGACTTCTCCTCACTTGTGCTGTTGCTGTTTTGGGATTCGACTCCCGTTGTGTGCCCAGAGCTGTGGCTGGTGGTAACTGCTTCTCGGAGGGAGCAGTTGGAGGTGGTGAGTCTACGATTTAGAGATTCTCCTCTGGGAGCCAAGTCAGCACTCCTCCAAGCCCCTCCAGCCCCTGGCAACACACACAGGCTCTGGCTCTTCAACAGGCCCAGACATGATGGGCCCTTCAGAGGAGACAGCTGGGGGGGGGGAATAGAAATGTTTTGCCATTAAACAACCCACAAATCTATAGATTTTAAGGTGATAAATACACATTTGTGCAAACAAATGTCAGTAACATCATTTAATGAACCAAAAATTCAAAACATTCATGAACAAGATTAATAACAAAATGATGATATATGAATGCAACAAAGTAGACAAACTTTATTAAAGTTATTTCACAAGACCTACCCCGACAGTGTCTATTTGGGCCAACAGTTTGGGGTTATTTTGCTCCACAGCTTCAAGACACTGGAACATGGCGGTCACATGGGGCTCGCTCAGCAGAAAGGCATCATCTGAAAGGCCCGAGACAAACGACAAAGAGAGGTATGAAGATAAGCTATAGAGAGATAATGAATTAGTGAGTGAAGACACAAAGAGAAAAATCAAAAGAGGACAGAAGGTCATATGGACTGACAGTAACAGACAATGAGGGAGTACTTTCATCTGCTCCTTATTTTAGTTTACACTTCACACCAGTGTCTTCTAGATTAAACTGGCCCATTAACATCGAACTCACCGTTGTAGTATTTACGTGTGTGTCCCAGGTGCCGGAGCAGAGGTCTGAGCTGAGTCGACAGCCTGTGGACCTGTAAGCTGTGTAGCAGCCAGCGCTCAGCCTTGTAGCTTTCACCGACGCCCTGCATCCCACTGCTCAGTACTGGCTCCAAGTGACTGAACTGAGGGCGGACAAATGGAGGAGAAATGTGAAGTGGAACCATATTGTGAGGGGAGAGGTAGACGGGAAAGCAGCTGGCAGGGGTGCAAAGAGTAAACATGTAAATCCGCTGTAAATTTTTAGCATATCACTGCACAAACAATGCAACTTTAATTTTTTATTTTTTTTTTAATATTCACAATTTTATATATTTAGTGTGTATTGTTATGCACCAAGTCACCTAAGCAAATTCCTTGTTTGTGTCTATCTGCTTGTCAATAAAGCTAATTCTGAATAGCAGAGAGCCAAACGGTATTCATCTGATTATAAAGTACACATTTTAATTGGTTTTTTTGGAAACACTGAAACTAATAAAATGTCCTCATTTGTTCCTTTTTTCGTCCAAACTATTAGACAGCCAGTACCCATGGGATATTGTTCCTTAGATTTCCTTGGTTAGCACAGCCGTTATTCTATTTACTCCAAACATACCGCTGTTTGTTTGACAGAGACAGGTCTGGCATGTTGTAATGCAGATGATAGGCTTAACAGTCTAAACAGGGAAGGCAATGAGTGGAATGAGGGGTGATAAAAAAAAAACCTGTCAGCATAAAACTAGGACAGGGCAGACAAGACATCAACAACCAATCGTCACATGATGATTACATCATGGCTGAGCACACTGTAAGCCCTGCTATTCAACTGAAAGAGGTGACCGAGGGTTTAAGAGTGACTGTTCCTCAAAACACACCGCAACACAAACCATAGGTTATCCAGGAAGGGTAGTGTCTCTGCTGAGGGCACTGAACTGTGTCAGGTATTTGCTGACTTTGCATGCAACAAACATTGCACATTACAACTTTACAAAAGCAGCCAAGCAGCAGGCGCTTAAATTTGCCATCTAGTTTCACTGTCCAACAAGAAAAGCAATTTATCAGCTAATTGAGGATAAGATCCCTGTCAAAGCGGCTTGTGGGGCAAACTAACAAATCTGCTATTAAAAAATATTGATCAGGATATGGATAATACACATTGATAACTTTGCAGCCTGGCTACTATTCTTTCACAAGTAATCACCAGCAATTTATTCTCTCACAAATGTTCCAAATGTAGGGTGTGCATATCAGGGTGAATAAAATGCAGAAGCACATGTGTGACTATGAATTACAGAACCTGAGAGATAACAGCCAGCCCTGGACCGCTGAACAATTCCACAACAAGATGGCTCATGATTAGGAGATCAATAAAACGACTGTGTAAAAAGAACCCTGATAAAATCCACAGTAGACACCTGTAGTGACACTTTCAAAAAGTAATCAATGGTTCATCACAGTCAGCTTTGCAAATCCAGTCAATGATTTATATTTCCTTTCTGCTCAAGAGCGACACTAGGGATGCTACAGTACTAATTATGTTGTTGTAATTACATTTGACCATGCTCACACTCAAGATTTAAGTCTTATCCGTAAAGCTGTAATTGCTGATTCAGATTGCTAAATAGTGACTATTATTTCTTCAGTTGGTTGGAACCTGCCTGAAACTATGGATAGTGCCATAAATCAAATTTTCTTGTTACCATATTACCAACCTTTTCTAGGTAAATAACTGTAATGCAAAGTAAGTTCACAATCTGAAAGTTCTATGTAAGTCTACCTTATACTGTATATGAGTTAAATCTGTAGGAGAAATACACATAGCCTAGAGCAAGGTAGCAATGTTTAGGCCTATGTCCACATGAACCTGCCTCCTATTGCAAATTTAAATGATTTGTGTGCCGACTAAACTTGAAAATATTCACACTGTGCATGTGGCGGGCAGTGACCATACCTGTTCAACGTGCGAGGCTAGTTGGGGGCTGATGTAGCGAACACACCACACAAATGGCCAGTAGTCTCTCTGCTTGTAGTACACCTGCAACACAAAGCCAGCGGTTAGCGTGACCCAGTTATACAGAATTCCAGCTTGAATAAACACAATAAGCCATTATTAAAATAAAGTGAGTTCATTGACCTATTCTGCAGTTTGTTGTCCAGTACTGGGTTATGGGACACACTTTGAATAAATGACTCCTTCATGTTCAAACATATGTTGTTTGACCAGCCATTCAGACCTGACGGTCAACATTTCATTAATGCTTTAACTTTAACGTACGAGTCTGTCAGAGCTGGATGGAGCTCGAACAGAAAGTGATCTGCTATCTGTTTACAGATCGGACAGAAAACAAAAACAGAGGGGTATCAGTTAGATCTCTTGAGTTCGGACCTGCTCGTTCTTCAGTCCATGGCTCAGGATGTTGTTCATGTCCTTGTGGAGCCGCTGCAGGCCGCCGTAACGTGACCACACGTTGGGGTTGTTGGTAGACACGAGACCCTCCACCGTGGTCTTCAGGCTGGACAGTAGCTTCCAGAGCTCCCTCCTGTAGAGAAAACAGGGCAGCAGGAAGGAGTGAGGCAGGGTGAGAGAGGAAGTTTAGGAATGAGGAAGGAGGTGAAGAAGTGCTGGCGTTAGCATTGTTGTAGCTTAAATCACTAATCAGATGAACAAAAACACCCAAAATGTAAAACTGAGTCTTCAGCATTTTAGTTACAATAACATTGCTTAACTATGAACTCAGTGACTAACAGGGAGTTCTGAGCATCAGTTAATACCAGATCACCACAGCTTGACCTTAACAGATATAAATAGATGCTGCCTCCCTATAAACAAAATGTGTACAAGAGCCCAAGTCTTAAGTGCCTGTTAGCTATTTTCATGATCCCATATTATTCTTACTTATTTTGCATAAAGATGAGCACAGAGCTCTGATGATGCATTTTAATTAGAAGCTTTAAAGATGTTTTTTTCTGCAAAAAGGGACCTTTAAATAGTCTCTATGTCGAAATCCTATATTACAAACCACACATAATGGTTGATATGGATTTCAACGGGGTTAAACCATATCTTTAGGATACAGTCATGGAAAACTGCTGCTCCTAAAGTGTTCAAATACAAAACAAAATTATATCCGGTCACACACATACTGGCTCAAATCCAGAACTTCAACTTTTCTTTTTTTTTTTGGAAGTCAGCAGTGAAACTGAATGCTATTGAGAACTAGTCACATAACTACACCAGCGGTGCTAAAGATCTGCTGTCAGACGGTACCAATGCTTGAGGTGGTATTTGAGTATAGGACAATTTAACTGGTCTTCTGCTGCTTCTGCTTATATACTACACTAGACTTTAGCACTTGATGTGTGCTTAAATGTATTATAAGATTTAAGAATCATCCCCCAATTTTTATTTAGGTTATCTATACGTGCCCAGATTTGTTTTGTCAGCTGTTACACTCTATTTTATGCAAGATAGAGTACATGACTGCATTGTCTAATCAAAGTGAATAACCCACATTTGCAAAAAAAATTCTTCCTTTACAAAACTCGTCATCTCAGACAAAGACAACAGAGAAGTGATGTGGAGAATGCTGAAAAGTAAAGGCTATGAAAACTATGAATAGCACATTTATGAACACAACAAGTCTTGTTTCATATAAATCAGCAGTGCTGAGCAGCAGCATCACGAGTTCGGCTAACTAACTAATCAAATCACATCATGAAACATGGAAAGAGGGAGGCTCTATGTTAGAGAACATTCTCCACAGACTGCAGAGATTGATGCATTTATCCAACAAGCCAAATATATGTGGCATTTATTGTGTGTGTGTTGGTTGGACATCATGGAGCTAAATTCTACAAGGCTCAGAGAGGTTGTTGAGGTTGAGGATTACTTTCTCTCTGTTTCGTGTGTGTGTGTGTGTTGTGCTACAGAAGCACAATTGGTTTAATACTTAAACAAATCAAAGTTATCTTGGTATACTCTACTCCATCTATCAATTACTGTAAATGGCTAGGTCCAACTTTACCTTAATGCTCTAACAACGTAATTTTAGCGTCTCTTACAACTTCTACACCACAACCAGCTAACATACACCTCACCGAATTGATTTGACAGCTAGCGTTAGCTGTTAGCGCAACATACCGTAACTATGACATAGCTAACAGCACTATTACCATTATCTTGTAAATGCCCTAACGGTTAGCTAACAAATGTACCAATTTCTTTAATGCAACCAAACTTTGAGGTTGACAAGCCTCGCAGCTCATGCCGTTTGCTCGAGTTGTCAAACCTTGACATATCATGTTAGCCTCGCCTAGCCTAGCTTTGAGCTGGCACTCCAGCGTCGCTAACGTTAATCCACCAGTGTTCAGCTAGCTAGCTACCTAACATTATGGCTCAGTTTAAGTGAGTTGGCGCTCTAAAGATTAATGCTGATCGTCTTTGTTTAAATATCGAGTAGGTTCTTGGTGATGCATTTTCTAATTTTGTTGTTTACGTTATATAACCACAGTCACTTAGCAAAGTTAGCCGGATAATGTCAACTAGCCCAGCGCAGGCTGTCACTCACCTGCGCTCCTCCGCCTCTCCCTCAGCCGAGATCTCCATGTCATCCGGCCGGAATCGAGTGCCGTACAATGCTGCCAGCTTCCCGGATAACTCCCTGTCGTGTTTTGTACAACGGAGTTTCACCCCAGCAGTAAGGTAGCTTGAATTAACCGGACTTCCAGTCTTCAGCCATGTCAGCCCTGCCTGTCCGAGCTGTGAATGAAAACAGCGGAGGCCGCATATCATCAGCGAGTGGGCGGTGGTGTTGTCCCTCCTTCGTCTTCTTCATCGAGGTTTAACCGCAGCTGGCTTCCTTAGTGTTGTATTACTGCCATCTTGTGGAGTTAGTTACCTTCTACACTTCCAGAAAACTTCAACACTTCTCCTGTTATCCCTCATAGATATCCATAATAAAGGCTAGATGTCTCATCCGCGCTGCTGGCCAATGGAGGTCGACGTCAGCACCTGGCGGCCATCTTGTCACAGGCCGCTCGCTCACTCGTAACATTGTGTTAAGGTGCATTTACTTTTTAAATAACCATAACTTCCTCAATTTTCTACCGATTTTCAAACGGTTTGGTTTGTTATAAACGTCAGAGATGTAGTTATGACACCGCACACATAATTATAACCATGGACTGTCATATGAAAATAACATTGAACAGAACAGATAGGTGCAATGAATATACACACGCAGAAGGTATTTATGTTAAATCAATATATAGACTACTAAAATCAGTGTACAGAATGGCAACATGAGATTATATATATATATTTTAGAGCTGTCAAACGATTAATCGCATCCAAAATAAAAGTTTGTTTACATAATATTTGTGTGTGTACAGTGTATAATTATTTTAATATATAAATACACACACATGCATGTGTATTTAAGAAATATTTGCATCTATATACTGTATATAGACTCAATGTATATATAATTTATATTTTATATAAATATAAACATTTTATATAAAAATAACACATTTTTCTTAAATATATACATGTGTGTGCATTTTTTTTTATTTTGGAAGCGAATAATCGTTTGACAGCCCTAATATATATATATATATATATATATATATATATATAATATTACTATTATAATAAAATAATTTGAATTACATGTTTATTTTAACTTCTTCAGGGTTGGGACATTTTCTCGGCTTTTCTCCCCGACATTGCACTGTGCCTACTTCAGAGATCACTGTTCCCACCTAATTTTGCATACCATCAAATGCCTGACCTCTTTAGAAAGCTGAGATCCTGTAGTTTCTTAGGATAATTGTGTGAAGTACTGGCACAGAGTTATAGAGGCTAGAATATTGTTTTTTCTTTCTGCCGGATAACAAGCATCTCTGAACTGACCACATTTCAGCCCTCTAGGTCACTTGATATGACTTTAGAAACACAACTGAGCCCTAGCACCAGGTCTTGTGAAGCCGTGTGCAAAGGCAGATCAATATAGAATGAAATATGAGTACTTTTGACCATTATTTGCCAAGGTATGCTCATGCGTTTTTTAAAATGCCCTATGGAAACTCCCCATTGGACTTGTGGTTACTCAAAATGCATACTGACAAAAAAAGGCTTACTATGTGGCAACCTCTTGGTGTAGAAACATAATCCTGGTCTCAAATGAAAGGTAACACTGAAGTTTCATGTAGACTATTTGGATTGTATATCAGGGGTTCTGATATAGAATGACTACACAAAATATGGAATAATTACACAAAAGTCTCTATTTTTAAATATTATAAAAGTGACATTTATTTGCAATAAAAAAAGTAGGTACAAGATTCCCCTTTACAAATATACACAATCCCCACCCTGTAGAGAGAACTACACTACTGTGGAGGTATACACATGGAAGACAGAGATTTAAAAAATGACCCAAAAAACATAGCTTGGGCTAATGCCCTTTGAAAAGCCAAAATATACAAATATATAAATAATAGTAATATGGAAATTAATAAGTTACTTTTTTAACAATTCAGTCTTCACTTTTCAATTCTGAGCCTAAATACAAGATTCTCCAATTCTCCAACAGAAAACACAACAGCATACATTTAAGAAATTGTATAGGCTTGTCCACTTATAAGGCAAAAATATGTTTTGTGGCTCTGGACAAAAATGGCTCTTTTGATTGTAAAGGTTGCCTACCCTTGGGTTTAGTTTCAATGTTCACACATGTTTATTCATACCACCAATAATATTGGGCTCTTAGACTACTAATGCCATCATAGACCTTTCTGGGTACCACCAAGATAAAGGATTTAATATAACAAACCCCATGATGCTCTCATTTGTTAGACATTCCACATGCAAACACTCACAACATCAGGTTGAGGTACATCCTGAGACAAGTCCATTGGCAGGCTAATAACTACAACCACACTCACAGCTTCTTGTTATTAGCCAGCTAATAACTACAACCACATCCACAAAGATATGTCATCTGTTCCGTTTAGTTCTGAGTTTATTCATTTATCAGTTAGGTATCCCTTATATAGTATATGGTCTTGTATCCAGTCGTCGTGGTCTATGTTCTGTTATCTTATCTCCCTTAGCCACCCTGTCTTATTAGTTTGAATCCCTAGTTAGTTGGACTTAGTTTTTGTTTGCTTGCTACCTTTAGTGTGCATCCTCTACCTGATGTTATTGTTTTTCTGGTTATTATCTGTCAGCTGGTGTTTAGGTATTTTCCTGATTTCAGTTCTGTTCCAGTCTCTTGTATTAGTTTCTGTACCATCATGCTTGAGTTCTGTCTGTTTGCTAGGTGTCTATTTATGTTCTCTGCCAGTTTCATTAATTAATCTGTTTTTGATCATTCTGCTCTAGTCTCTGTGTAGCCTTTATAATTACTCATCCGCATCTTACTCAGTATCTGTCTTGTCTCGTATCTTAGTTCTTCGTCCTGTACCTTAGTTCATGTCTTAAGTGTTCCCTCCTAGTCTGTGTACTTCTGTGTTTTGCCCATGTCTAATCTGAGTTTTACCTTAGCTTCTGTCTATGTTCCTTGTTGGTGTTAGTTTATTTGTGATCTGTCTGCTTGTATTAGTTATTTATATTATTCTGATGTTTAATGTCGAGTAACTTGTGTCTTGTCTTTTCTCCCCTCGGTAATCTGCCTGCCTGCTAGTCTCTCTGTTTTCCCTGCTGTCTCTCTGTCTGCCTCTTCTTCTTCATATGGATTTACAGCAGTTTAGATGCTTCTAAGCATATTACTGTCCTCCTCAGGAAGTCGCTATAGTGAAAACGTTATTGTTTCAAATTTTTATATATAGCCCTGTATCGTGTAAGAACTGTAATACTACTTTGACAATCAAGTGGTGGTTCTCATTTTGACCCAATATAGATTTGACTGAGAATGACAGAACTCCCAAATCTGATAATCTCTTGAATAAAAAGCTCCTTTCTATATTGTATTTGTTACATTTCAGCAAAACATGTTCCACTGTTTCAGAGTTGCCACACTCACAAAGCCCATTAGGATGCTTTCCAATGACATATAAGGACTGATTCAACCCACAATGCCCAAGTCTTAACCTACAGATTTTAACAGAATCTATTCTGGATCCAAAACAGTGCCTGACTTTTTTAACCTGAGATTGCAAAGAGTAATAATGTCTCCCCTTGGTCTCATTTTCCCACAATCTTTTCCGTTCCCCTTCAATACTCTGCTTATTTTCTTTTTTCTTTTAGTTCCACTCTTCCCAATGATATATTTATATCTGTCTCTAACTTCTTTAAACTTGATTTTGCTAAAAGGTCTGCTACTTCATTTCCTTCAATTCCCGCATGTCCCGGGACCCAGCACAACATAACATTGCTACCGATCATTGTAATTCTAAATAATACGGCTAGAATTTGACTTATGATATCAGAACGGGCTTTTGCTTTACCGCCTTTCAAGGCCATCTGGGCAGCTGCAGAATCAGAGCAGATTAAGGCTTCTCTTATTTTCACGTCCTCAATCCACCAGAGCCCAAATAATTGCCAGTAGCTCTGTTGTAAAGACAGAACTTGCCATGTGTCTGCCTGTTTCCTGTCTGTTCCTGATCCCTGACATTTGTTGTATGTAGTATTATCTGCTGGATAGTTTGGACTTTGCTTTCTGTTCCATGGACTTAGTATTTCTGTTGCCCGTTTGGATTTCCTGTGTTTGTGGACTACCTTTGTTGAATTCTGGACTCTTCTGTAAGTTTTGTTGGCTGGAAAAAATCCTCAGAAACTGTACCTGTTCTGCCTCTGTGTCGTGCGTTTGGGTCCTAAAACCTGTTCCTGCCTGAAAACACGGCCAAGTGTGACATCACCTTACATTAGGTACCACAGAGCCCGCCAGAAAGCTTGCCTGTGACAAGATGGCCGACGGTGATGACGATAGAGACTCCGCCGTAAGACATCTAGCCTTTATTATGGATATCTATGTTAGCCCTAACCTTTTTATTTCCTCCATCCTGTCCTTAATCTCGGATTTATATTTCCTACAACTAACAATCACACACTGTACACTACAGTTTATAGTGCATGACAATGTTTACAAATACCGCATGGATGCTTAGCTATAATGTGAGATGTGCAGTGGTGGACGAAGTATTCAGATCCTTTGCTTAAGTAAAAGTACAAATAGCAAACTGTAAAAATACTCAGTTACAAGTAAAGGTACTACACTCAAAATGTTAAGTAAAAGTATGCAAGTATAATCAGGAAAATGTACTTGGAGGATTAGAAGTATTCAATGCAGAAAAATGTCCCCTGTGACTTGAGATTCTGAGAGTATTACTCATACGCATTCATGTAAAAGCAGAATTTTACTGCTTTTGTCGACGTGAAGCTCATTTTAAACTATTTTGTATCAGGGTGCAACTAATGATTACTTTCATTATGAATTAATCCTCTGATTATTTTCTTCACTAATCGGTTGTTTCGGGGGGGGGGTCTGAAAATGGTGAGAAATGCCGTCACAATTACCCAGGGCACAAAGTGACAGCTTCATAATGCTTGTTTTGTCCATTCAATAGTCCAGACCTCAACATTAACACTACAATCAAATTATTAAGATGATCAAAAGGAAAAGCAGCAAATTGTTACATTTGTGAAGATGGAACCATGAAATGTTTTGGCATGAAATATGACAATCTCAAGTCCAGCCAATTAACTTTCTGTCAACCGACTAATCGTTTCAACCTGTATAAACTGTTGGGTAGTTTAATTCATGATAGAACATCATTTTTTATGAACTCTTCATATGCGTTGTGTAAAGTAACTACTAAACCTGTCAGATAAATGTAGTCTTC